GGGAATGAAAGTATCGAAGGTAAAGAGCGGAAATATATCCATTCGATGACGGATTTGACTCATATGATGGGAGCACTGGAGATGCTTCCTGAGGCTAAGGGTCAAGCTACTTTCGCATTTTCAAATACAGCAGACATGGGTAAGAGGGGCCGGACTGAATCTCGGAGTAGTACATATGAAGACCCCCAAAATAGCGAGCAGGTGACATCAGCGCCAACGGGAAGCCACAAAAGGCGGGTAATTGAGGATCCTAAAGCACAGAGCTCACCGCTAAACCACTTAAACCCCCAGGGGAGCCCTCACAAGCATCACCAGATTCAACGCTTACAGCACTGTGTTGGTCTGGATATCCCGAACCTCACAGTCCCCCCTCCTGATTTTTTTCAAGAACGAGGTCTTGACCACCGCACTACTGCCGATTCTGGTTTATCTCAACCTAGTCTGCATTCATCAGGCGTACTGAAGCAAGCCCCACAGACGGCATCTGTGAACCAGCAATATCTCCCCCATGCGGCACACACCCAACACCAGTTTTCTGATGCCAAAAATTATCCCAATGCCGCACCAAGTGCATGGGGTTTAGACCGATATCTACACACCAATGATCGACGTAATTCTGCGACCAGCAGTCAAAGCACGAGCACAACCAAATCCTATAACTCCAGTCGATACTCTGCCACTAGCATGCGTGGAGGTAGTAATGATGGCATGAACAACGCAGCGCCCAAACCATCAGAGACTGTAAGAAGACAATAGTCGAAGCCGGTGGGCGGAAGGGCGCAATGCAAGTGCCAGAGACTAGCGGCTTGCGTACGAATTTGGCACCCCCGCCTATTTTACATTTGAGGGGTCAATCAATTTTTCATAGAATTTTATGAAAAATTGGTTTGAGACAGCTTTTGGGAAGTGATGCTGAAGGTATACATGACGCTCAATGACAAGTTTTGATTCAATTCAAAAAATTGAATCCTATAGCTGGTATCTAGCATCCTGACTCAAGCTCATAGATGGGCATCAGGAATAGCCTAATGAAACAGACGGCAATGAAGAGAGAGAATCAGAAACACCGTGATATAGAATTCTTAATGAATACGAGTTATTTCCTCTTATTTTCCTCCGGCGGCGTCAGCGGTATGATTTTATATATATATTTCTCTTTTTGAGTGTCGATGATTACCTACTTGGTTTTGAAGTGGGTGATTCGAATCCTTGTTTTCCACAACAGTATCATAATGACATCGATTTGAGCCTAAAGTCTTCGGAGCCAATCAGGGCCGCTATGTTGGCTTGCTGTGGGTGGCGTTATTTTCATTCGGTCTTGACGGTATTGCCCTGGCTTTTTGTTGGTTAATAAAGTGGATAGCAAAAGCTGGCTTGTTACCCCAGCAGCACCTATCCGGGCCATCTGATGAGCGGTTGAGGTATGCGTGACTTTCATACCCCTCCTTCCTTTCGAGATAATACAAATTTGTGTGCCTGCAAGGCACTTCCGTCGAGTATAGCTTAACAACATATGATTATTTCGATAGTTTTCAAGATCATGTGTACTGGGCTATCGCAAATTGGTGATTATAATATGCACTTGCGAATAGTCTGGTTCTCGCGAATGGCTTTGACCCCCGGTACAATTATCCTCTCAAAAGGCTCCTAAGCGACTTGGTCCGTGGGGTTATTACTATGAATAAGGTTTTCAAGCAATTGATTTCAATTTCACTGCGCTAGAAAATAGAATTCTCAACAGAACTTTTGAGAATTTTCTCCGCTTCCCTGGGAAATAAAAATTACAGAGAGACAGCCAAGTCCATATAACAAACAAAGTCTAAATATTCTGAAAATCGATTTTTTCTAAATTTAGAAATTGTAGAACCAGAGAATTAGTCTGGTTGGCACCCAGAGACCAGAGAATCCAACGCTGAATGTCCCTAATAGGAAGATCAATTCAACGTTTCAAATATTGTTTTCGGATTTTCAGCTCAGATTAATCCATCCCTGATCTGTGAAAAGGCAGCCAGGGAATAAGCTCAGTAGGCATGTGAGACTAGACGATAATCTTTGTAATACTAATTTAACTTGCAAAATACGGTTCATGAGACTAATTTTTCTTCAGATCTGGATCTTTGGTTACCCTGAAGTGAAGCTTCTCCAATTAGACTATATGATAGTATTGGCAAAGGAATGCACATAGATGTGACTATTTTAACAGATTTAACAGACAATAATATCAATTTACCGCGGGATTCCATGTCACCGGTATTCACTAGTACCAATCGTGGTAGTGGCTCCGCCGCACAAATTCGCTAAATTTGTTACCCTCAGTTATTCACAGAATAGACACGGCGGTCTAAATGTATTATTGCTGGGGGGGAAGTTCAATAAAATATCCAAGACTTTTGTGAGAACATTCAAAAACATCTTGCTATAGTGTGCAATGAGTAGGGATGATATTGTATTGGTGTGATGGTATTTCCAGCTAAGGTGGGTGGAGATGCTAACAAATATGTACATGTTACCCCCCTTGTTGTTTGCGCCTAGAACAGACCTGAAAGCTGAGCTCTAGTGTGGCTTTGAAGAGTAATTCTTTCAAGATCTCACCCCCAACCCTATAATATTCTGGGCCTAGTCTTGAGCCACCTAACCAAATTAAAAAGAAAGTCACTCACTTTGGAAGAATTCGCCTCGTGACCTGGGCGGTTTATAGGCGGTTCATAATCTTCCCTCAGATACGCGTGGGAGTTCTTTGCCAGAAAATCAAGCTTCCTGTTAAAATTCAATCGCTTCGCACTGATATTCCTGAGCCTGTGTTGCCACGATGTGGGCGAGCGCTGAAAAGGTTCTTCCGGTAGTTCTATTGCAACTGATTGCCCACCCATCGAAGGTTTGACCCATTGCCACTCACGAGTATCACCATCTTGCACTGGCGTAAAGCCACTGAGCGCTCTAGGCCTCCATTTCAGCTTCTGGCACTGCCAGCGCCTCCTCACGCTGCAATGTATTACCTCGTTCGTTATGCCCTTGCTCTGCCCAGGTTTTCGATAAGACTTTCCAAGCAACGGCATGAGACTCGTCCAGTAAGAGTCTTCAATTCTGCCTTTGGCCCACCCTGGATAGATTCGTGAGATGCCTCTTCTCAGTTTTCCAAAATTGTGCTGTGGAAAATGATTCGCCTGGATGGTCTGGGCTATGAAAAGCTCCTCAAAATCCAACAGACCTCTACACTTCTCTAGCATCCAAAAGAGTGAAAGGTCGGCCATATGTGAGTCCGGATAACCACCTCCTACATTAGTGTGCACACCCGGGAACCAGCATTGCTTGAGGTTAATCTCTAGGACACAGTGAGTTAGAGTCAAATCCCTACTATATACCGGACTTGCATATGAAAGGTAAATCACCTGGGAAACCCGATACATTGCTTTTTGGGTCTGGGAGATATAGCAGCATCGGTGTGAATGGTGCTCGCAGTTCATCAATAGCAAGTGCGTGAAATGCATTTTCAATCCCTAAGTCAATTTATAATTAGATCCATGAGATAGATAATCAATGAATACGTGAGGGAGCACTGACCGTATACTAGCGTTGGATCGTAGAAAGAATAGGAACTATTAAATCCGCGAGACTTAACCCATTCATAATCAGGCATACCAACACTTCCAACAGCATCCCATAAGCCTAGAACCTTGATAGTTACCCGCTGGGAGCGGTCCGTATCAATTCTCCACATATTCTCCACAAAGTCGTTGAACGCTACCCCTTTATCCGGTTGGATATAACGTGACCAGGCTTTCCGCATCATCCACAAATACCGTTTTTGGAATAAGCCTAGCCGGATTATGATGTTCGCTAAAACACATGCAGCGAATCCTCCGCGGGAAAACCCAAAGAGGCATATCTCGTCACCAACCTCATAATTATTCGACAGAAATTGGTAGGCATCGAGAATATTATCATTGATCCCAAGACCGGTCCCGCCTATGCCATTTATGTGGTAAGTCACAAGATAAAATGTACGTAAGCGACATATTGGTTGTAACTTACTTGCAACAGTGGTGTACATTTCCCCTATTGTGGCAGTGCCAACTCCAGATTGATAGAAGATGATTTGTGTAGCACTGCCGTGCAGTGCTGAGCAAAGACGTGTTACATTTGTTGGTATGGCAGCAGGACCTCTCATTGAGGATTGTCCTGTGCCATCACAGCCCACGATTAGCCGTTTTTGCATCGAAATCGACGTATGAAATTGAGACTTTGCGCCAGTCTGAGCGCTGATTGGTAGTCTATACTGTGGTATAATGCCATTTTTGAAGGGATGGTTTCCCCTCGTAGTGGTAAGCGACCACAATTTAGTTATCACTGGAGACGTCTGAAGAAATTTTGTAGAGTGTGCATGATTCCCAAATGGCATGCTGCTCACGATGATGGATACCTTAGACAGGGATTCATTCCAAACACTGTGTGGGGAGTTTTCGATTGTAGTACCTTATTTGAGCCACAAGCTTAAAACCGAACCTGCGAGGGTTCATGGGTTTATATATAGGTGCCCAATCGAGAGGGTGCTTTCATCATATCAATACAGCTAGGCTTCTTCTGGTGCCCGGTCCCCAAGTAACTTTTGGAGTTGCGAATAGAACACCCGTTTTGAATTGGATACCACTCCTCTCGCAAATATCGGGCCCGGAGTCGAGAATCCTTATAAATCTTCGAGTTTGAATAACTCTTCACTCATAAACTGAAGCGGGGTTTCTGAGGGTGCATAGCACTGACTCATGGGGCAGAGCCTCAATGACCTAGGATTAGGAATATTGTATTCTAACATGGGTCTCATATTATTATTGAGATAAAGCACTATGCCAAAAGTAAGGCTTACTTTACACTTCATCGAGACATGTACAGCTAGTAGTTAAGTTATCATTATAGTTAAGTTATCATTATAGTTAAGTTACATTATAGTTAAGTTACATTATAGTTAAGTTATCATGTTATATTTTATGTAAAATACATACCAAGACGTCGTGCCCGAGTGGTTAAGGGGAGTGATTAGAACTGCTCAATATCACTTACGTTCTGCGTGCGCAAGTTCGAGTCTTGTCGACGTCGTCAATTTTTTTCTCTAAGAACGTACAGATAGTTTAATATTCTGGTAAGCGATCTGATACAGTCGAACCTACGACTTTGCATCCTATATAAGCGCATATCCTCTGATAACGCATACCAAGCTCCTGACGAGTTTTTTTGTTAGTAAAAACGACACACTAAGGGGCTAAAAACCGCATAACTGTAACATTGCATGCATACTTGTTGGCGCCTTCCCAAAATTCAGATTAGTGTGTACAGGCACTCCGAGATGGCATAGCAGGGTATGAGTTCAGCCGGATATTCTACCCTGGTCAACAGCAACTAACGCAGGTATTCGGATTCAGTGTTATAGCTTAAAGAGCAGAAGTCCCACATCTTATCTTTTACTTTCTTCTCTTCACATAGGCAGCGCACAATGGCATCTGTACCATATATAGCAACTTCCGATCCAACAGACGGTGAGCGTGCACAGCTCTATCGCTACCATTTAGCAAATAAATTCAGCCTTAATTGAGTCTATTACTACTCTAACCAACCGCATGGCAGACCTCAATATGAAACGCAAGCAGCAATCACACCTCGAGAAATGGCTTAGATCCGATTAAAGTGGGTGGGAACGGGTCGGGATATCATGGATTTAGTCGGGATATCATGTATTTAGTCAGTGTGTCATGTATTTAGTTTAATATCAGCTCTTTTTCTCATTTTCGCCAGTACCGCATAAACCTGTCTTACTGCACCAAAAGTGCTCTGACGGACATCATGCAGTAAGAGAGGTTCGACTGTATACAGTTTTTATATAGTACAATTTTATATCTATTTCGTTTTTCTCCAACGGTAATCACCGAAAAAGTTGTCTATTTACCGGCCTACCTGTGCCTAACTCCCCATATCGAAATAAAAGATCAGGCGCCATCAGATATATGCATATACACTATATGCTATATCGTGTGACTACCTTTTAAGTCGCCGTAGAGTAGCTGTAGCCTTAGGTTTTGTCTGGTTGAGCCCTAGGCTGCCGTACCCAGCCTCTGTGTGACGCTGCTACATGGCCCATGTGGCTTGTTGACGATGGGGGACCCCCAGGCGTTAGATTAATCGAGGTTGATATAAGCTGCTTAAGCATATTAAACTAACCTATACCCGTAAGTATGCTGGATATTCGCTGTATAACGTTAATATTTTGGAACAGGCTTGTTATTGAAGGTACTAGTACGCTATGAGAACACAGTTGGGAGTCAAATGTACCACATGAGCAACAGGTTTGGTTTCACTACACCTTAGACTTTTACTCGAAAACTTTTACCTTTTCTTTGAATTTTTTTTATAAAGACTCATTACTCATATGCAGTCCCCTTAAGGGGACCATGATGAGCCACCAGGGAACCCGGGTGGATTCAAGGACAAGGCAAGTTATCAGGTCCACGCTAGATACACATACAGTAGGCTCGGCTACCCCGGCCCATATTGGCCAAGACTATGTTAATTGGTTTAGCTACCCGCCCTGTGCTCTCTTAAATTGTATCGTACATAACATGAATGGCACTTCTGACACCTGTAGTGATGCTTATCGATATACATAGTAGAATTGAGTTGAAGCAGCATCAGTGAAACATCGGTTACTCGTACCATATGGATGGGAACTTTCATGGGCTACCACAAGTACGCTGTATCTTTACTAGTTCCTTTTCTCATTAAATCCCCTACGTTATTATTTTTTGGGGGGTCATGTTCGCTAAATTTGAAGGTATCACTTGTGGAGCCCAATCTTAGACTTCACCGGTAAGTACCAACGGTCCACTTACACTTCCTCGCGCAGTGAAAGCTGCTATTAACATCTAAGGCGGGCTGGATGGTGTAACTCTACACTGTACCGGAGCCGGGATACTATAATTCCAGATGTGAATCAAACCCCCCACACCCCCTGCAGGAAAGCTCATCAAAAAGGGTTCTGATTACTGATTAATTATAACAGAATTGCACTCAGAGAAAATTTAGCGGATATACATATATATGTATGTGTAAGGATATGCTTCCCCATTCAATCCCTCGTCTGTTTTTGAATTCCACTATAACGTCCTCGTCGAGCCTTCATCCCCATCGATATCTGGTGTTCCACCCTTGAAGCCATACGAGCACCGCGGTTCAACATGGTCGGAGGTCTAGATGCCCGTACAGGGTTATCACGAAGTTGATATGTTTTTTGGGGAGAGGTTTCAAGCAGCTATGCTAGTCTCTTGGACTTGATAATCTGAGGCTATGGTGAATTTTGACAAAATTTTATCAAATGGGACTATGGCATAAATTATCAAAACGGTGTGGTGCGGATCATACTTTGGCTTTCTGGACATGATATGTACTATATCTAGCCTAATTCGGACTTAGTCGACGTCGAAGTCAAGATCGTAGACATTAAAATAGCTAGTATATAAGCAGTCATAGCCAATGCATTTGTATTAGTGCCTTTGGGAGATGTGTCAACTGAGTCCGCGATTACGATTCGCTACGATATCGTCCCGCGGGACGAGCCAAAGCCAAGCTGGAATAATTATAAAATCATGAATAAAATATATTTTACTTGTATGCGGCCCCAATAAGAAACCACGACGAACCGGAGAACGTTATAATCTAATCTACACTCCTACACAGAGAGAATGGAATGGACCAGAACCCGTCAGGGGTGTCAAGGAAGATAGGGAGGGTCGGTCTTACTTTAGGAGCCAACGTGCACCTACTATGGCGAAGTTCCTATGGTCTGTGGAATGGGGTCATAAATAAGCCTAGGGTTACAGTTAAGGGTTTAGCCTAGGGAAGGACGCCTGAGCTGAGGCATGTGCATGCTTAAGCTTTTCAGTTTCAAAGGCTGAATTCGAAGGTTGCTTCAATGTAGTAGGTCACGCTTTCTCATTTCGAAGGCGAGTGTGCCTTGGCCGCAGGAGAAGCCAGTATTGATTATTCACTGGTTATTTTACGTTGGCTACAGTGAATATAGCGCTACATTGAACTCTAGATATAAGCAACCCCCGCTATAAGAAACCTCTTGATGTATGTGATTGGGATTTATATAGGAAAATAAGAAACTCTCTATATGCAGAACACTCTCGATATAAGAATCCCATCAGGCGGCTATAAAAACATTTCATCAGCTATGAGAATAACCCTTGATTTTATATTTTGGCATTTGTTTTGGCACTTGAACCATCTCTAACATCGAATGTATTCTTATATCGTTATCATATATCGTATATCGGACATACATTTGTACTTTTGTGCTATTGGAGTCTCATACCAAGACCCGAGCTTAGGAGTCTGCTGTATAGAAGTTTCTTTAGTCTGGTTGGCACAACACCCTCGTAGTGTTGTGCCAACCAGACTAAAGTTTCTTAGGTATTTGCTTAGTAATGCAAATAATATTGCTACAATAACGTACGTGCATACCTTCACGTGACCGGTACTATTTTTTAAAAAAATGCTTAGTTCGCATATGCGGTCCTGGCGAAGGTTATGATGAATCACTCGGAAACTTGCGTGGATTTAGGATAGACAAGTTAGTCTATCAGGTCCGGCAGATATGTACAATTGAACAATCAAAGCAGAAGAAGTAATTCAGAGGTATCATGAGTATGGAACAAAAGGAACCTGTAGCTCATTTAGCAACCGTCCTGAAGACTCGCTTGTATCGAGAGTTCACTATACCTTTAACACTCGGAGATAAGAATGATTCCCTCCTGGTGTCTTGAAACGTTGTCGTCCCCCGATAGGTTGGCCCTTTAGTTCGCCTACTGATGGCTCATCGTGTAACGGCTTGTAAGTACTGCAAGACCAGCTTCAAGTTCATACAATGGCTGCGACTGAAAGCAAGAAATCAGTAAGGTTCATTGAGGAATATAGTCTACTATAATCTGCTCGTACTCAGATGCCGACCTTAAATTAAGAACAAAAGACAACAGGTATTATTGTCCATACAAATATACTTAACAAAACCATCAAACGAATCAATATGTATCCCTTTCCGCTGTATAATATGCCCGCCCCGCTGCCCTCTAGAACCCAGCCTATATAACAATTTCCCATTCTCACGCAAATCCAAAATGTATCCCCCCTTACTGGGTCCGAACTGGAGAAACGAGTATTTTTTTAAAAAAAAAAAATTAAAAAAAAGGTATCCACCATCAAATAACGCCCAAGACAGAGTCCATAAAAGAAAGTAGAAAGTTGGATCCCAGCCGACCCAAATGGACCAAATCAGATACAGTATATATATCCAACAGAAGGAGCACCAGTGATGGTGCCAGCCAAACTAAGAAGATCTATTAAGCCCCGCCATCATGGGCTGCTGCCTCTTGGTACTAGCGAGTTCTACTTCAGAGCCACGGTCATAGGTAGGATCCGACTTGATGCTGGTGTTTGACACGTTGTATCCTTCTGCAAAGCACCATCCTGGGTGAAAGAGATTCAGAATGATTACAGCAACAGCAACCATCCTATAAGAACACAATTAGAGGATAATCGATGTAGAGGGGGAAATCTTGGGGACCTACACTCCCTCCAGGACAAAGAAAAGTGTTTGGTTCGCCATCAAAGAACCACTCCATCCTTCAGCCATCTCCACAACACGGAAGATACTTCTGATCAAGATACAGATTGTACTGATGGCCAGGGCAGCCAAGAATCCCCTGAATCTCTTGCTCTGCCTGAGCTTCGCATGGACAGGGTCGAGTTGTCCACCAGATTTGACACGCTGCATCACTCTCCAAGCATATTCGGCACAAAGAATAATGAAGATAACCAAGGTGAAGACCTGGAATCCCAAACCCGCAAGCATCACGTTTGTGCCAGGCTGGGGACTCTTGTTGGCACTCGCAGCGGTAGACGCAATTCCACCTCCTGCACCCTGTAATACGAGGGAAAAGAAGTCACAGGCGACGAAAATGTAGGTATACCACTTTGGGGGTATGCGAGATATGTCGGCACCGAACACGATTACGATTCGTGAGAGGCAGAGATAGATTCCAGCTGCG